TCTGCAGTTCACTAATCCTAGAAAGCAGACAGATATACTCTTAACAAAAAGCCTTCTTTTTTCCTTTTTTTCCTTCCCCTTTCCCTTCCGTTTTGTTGTTTTTTTCCTCTCTCTCCCTCTTTCTTTCTCTTCTCTTTTTTTTTTTTTTTTTTTTTTTTTTTAAGGGAAAATTTGTTGCAATAATACAAACTTATCATGCTCTCTCTGGTTCCAGCTGGGTGACACTACATCAGCAGCAGAATATGTACAAATTAAACTGTAACAACGCACCAAGGAGAGGCACAGCAATATCATAAAAATTATCCACAGTGCAATATGACTAATGTTGTGTGAAATGCATTCATTGGCCAAATGATGTCTAGGTGTTTCTTAAGGAGTTATGCTGATGGAGATAATGGTTATAGAGCAGAGATAAAGGAAGGAAAGGCGAGTGAAAGACAAAAGGTTGCAGCAAGGGCAGGCTGGCTGGGGAGGATGCTCAAGCAGGTGAGATTGAACAGGAAAGCTGAGCTGCTCTGGAATGCAGGAGGATGTGAGAAGGTGGCACCTTTCCTCCTCACGTGTCTGATGTGGAGGTGTGCTGCTGCTTCAGGCACACACACACATTCCTGTGCTCTTCTCACCTCCTTTTATGTGAACTTTTTGCAAACATTTATCTACACAAGCTGCGTATCTGTTAAATATTCTCTCGATCTGTTGCTTATAGAAATGCCTTTCTTTTCCCTTTCTAGATTTAAAAAAACCAAACAACCCCCCCAAACCAAAACAACAACAACAACCAAACAAAAGAAACCCCAAAAACAACAACAAAAAAAACCCCAAAAATCCAAAGAGAAGTGACTGATTTTATTAGCATGCCCAAAAACAAGAAATTAACTCAGTCATAGCCAGAGGATGGCTAGAGTAAGCACATCATGAAGGTGCACTCAGAAGTTGTCATCTCATTTCTTAATCTGGGAGTCTTTATGAAATGAGTAAATGTTTTGCCTGAGTAAGAAACTTGGCTATTAGTAAGTGAATGTGTTTTCCTTTTTGTTAAACAGAGATTTAGAAAAAAATCTGCCCAGTGACCCATTGTGCCATCATGCTTATCCAGAGATGTTTATCTAGACATCAACATTGTTTTCAAAGGAACTTAGGGATTTCCTAAGTAAATCTTATTTTACATCTAAATTACATTTTCCAAAACATCTCAGGTGAGCCCCTACCTCACTGAGTGTCTCTTAAAAACCTAAGTGCTTTTTTAAAATCGGCAAACTGGTCAGCAAAGTGGTCTTGCCTGAAATGAAATCAATCTCTGTGCAGTTGGTTGCTGGAGTTCAGGGCCTGATGCAGTCACAGCCTCTCAAATTACTAGAAAAATAGAGTATTTTCATGGTATTCCTGATTATTTGTTACCTAGTTGGTTACAAAGAGAGAGCCTAGGCCAAAATCATGCAACAATGGTTTCTGATGTGTGGGAGCCATGTTAGCCAGTTTGTTTTTTTTTCTCATTTATTGATATGTACAAGGATGGGAGGTAGACCCAGCCAAAAATGCTGGGATCCAACTATTTTCAAAGTCCTAAGATATCCAGAATGGGGAGTTAATTTTGCCTCCTAGTGAAGATAGGGGGTCCCCATGGATCATTTCAATGGGAGGCAAAGCTCTCCACAGACATGGGGTGTGCTGGACTGAGCATTTCTGTTCTGCTTCAAAGGCAGAGGAGGAGGGAGCGATGTGATAAAATCAGCGTTTTCAGCCCTAAACCTGACTTGCATCTGGGGGTTCTTTGTGAACCTTACAAAGCTTTTTCTGCAGCCAACCACCTCCACTCACCACTGAGCACGTGCCAGGAATTCCCTAGCAGAGGCAGCTGCCAAAACCCGGGGAGTTGTGATAACTCTGTGCTATCACATCCATAAAGCCTCAGTCAAGGCTGCTCTTCCCCCAAGCGGGAAGGGGCACGCCGTGGCCAAAGTGGAACATCTCCAGCTTATATAGCCCAGGCTCTGATATTTTATTCCCTTTCTGTGCTGCAGCTTTGTGTTTTCACGGGGCTCTGATGGCTCTATGCAGAATTTCTGCATTCCCTCTTCATCTGGGAACAAACTTGAGCCATGTACTCCGGGGGCAGGAAAGCACACTTCTCTTCACTCGGACAGGAGGGTGTGCAGTAACACAGCAAGCTCAACCTTGAGAAGGGGGAGAGGCACCCTGGGAGCCAGGCTGGTTTATATCTCAGCTGATTCTCCTCTTTCCCTCTTCCGTATCCCCTTAATAGCTTGACAGGAGAAATATAGGGAAGATACAGCCATCTGATTAACAGCGCCGGGGGCTGGGGATGGATGACAGGGAGAGGGAGCGCAGCGTGGCTACCAGCCAAGTTCCAGCAAGAAACAGAATATCTGGCTTCCTCTAATCTCTGGAGGAAAATTAAGTTACAAAAACCTTTAGTGGAAACTTTGCATACATTCAGTACCATTGCCATGCCTGACAGAAGAAAAAAAAAAAAAAGAAAAAACCTACCCTGATATATTATTTAGTTTATAGTTATAGAATTAAAGGCACAAGCTTTCCCACCAGGAATAAAGAAAAAAAAAACCTCTAGAAAACTAAAGACAAAACCCCGTGAATGTTTTGTGCTGTCAGAGTTCTTGAGAAATTCTCCTTTTTGTGTTAATGGATGGTTATGTGAATTGTGTGAAGATGTCTGCACTTCTTCCCGATGAATTTTTGCACTTATATGTAGATCCCTTCTTGTTTTCTGAGCTGTTTGCTCTGCCTCCTACAGGAGCATTGGGGAAGAGGAGAAGGTGGAGGTGGGGAAAAGGCTCCAAATTGCCCTGGGCAGACACCACTGCCCTAGGAAAGGGCTTAGGCTGCTCCTGCCACCAGTGAGCCCAGGAGCCAAGGCCATTGCCTTGCTGTTCATCAAATGTGTGTGTTACACACAGAGAGGAATTCCTCCCCCACCTCCACGTCTGTCATCAATGTGTTGATGAAAAATAGTGGAGTTTGATTTTAAAAAAATAACTTAGGTGTTAAGTGAGCAACAAGCTGGGACCTGTGCATATGAGAGAGAGTGCTGATTAAAATGAAATAGCCTATTTATTGACTGTTACATCTAAAGCACTTGGAGTAACCATGATGAAAGTATTACATGTTATTCAGCTTTATGAGAGGGAAAAAAAAAGAAGTTAGATTGGCTAGTTAGAACTTTTCTTTATTAAGTCTTACAATATGTTGATATATGTACAAAGTGCAATTTTTTCATGTCAGAAACATGAACCAAGGGTCTGAACAGCCATTGCCTGGCTCAGCACCATGCCCTCCCCTGGCTGCCTGTGCTCTCCTCTTGCTGGCTGTCCAGGATGGTGGGAATCTCCTCCAAAAGGAGAAAGCACAGATGCATTTTGTAGTATTTCCCTCCACCTTGGTGCAAGCAGCTTGCTCCCAACCTTCCTCATGTGATTCCTTCACCAGCCTCGTCTGAAGGGAACTCTTTCCATGCAGAGGAACATAAAAGCCCTGTTTACATGCATTTCCCTTCTGAGAGTTTTATTTCTCTTCAGCCTCAGGGACCTCAACACCAGCCAAAACTCAATATGGGGCTGAAATTGTACCCTGGCTGTCCCCAGCCCCGGGCAGCCCTGCCAGGGGACAGAGGGGTGTGTTTGTGTAACTGTGCACGTGTGTTGTGCGCACACAAAAACAGATGTGTGCTGTCCTGAATAAATGAGGCTATTCAGAGTGTCACAAAATGGACAATTTATGGCCAGTTTCAGCAATTAGTCAGACCAAAGGAGTGAGGTGGGTCAGTATTAAAACCCTCACTGTGTTGTTTATTTTAAAAAAGCAACAGGGAGTTCCAGCTGATGAGCAAAGATACTGAGAAAGGGTAATTAAAGAGAAACAATCTTTTATGTTTCTCTTATTACAGTTTCTCCTCATTTGGTTGTGCTCCCCTTACATGGTCTTGAGAAACAGAGCTGCTGCTTTCTTTTGGGGAGGGCAGTGTGGGGGTGGCTGCATGGGCAGTTCTGCAGCAGGAATTCACCACTTGTGTCCTGCCAGGCTCTTGCACCTTGCAGTGAATTCAGGTACTTCCTGAAGTGCTGGCACCTAGCAGAAATTCCAGGTATCAGCCTACAGGGCCATCCACTCTTGTGACTATTTTTATTGAGGTAATGGGGGAAAAGGTTCCCCTGGAAAAATATTGATAGCTTCTAAAATACTCCACCAGCACAAGAGTAGCTTAAATTGTGTAAATTAGAAATTGAGTATGACCTGCCCCCAGAGTTCACGACCTATGTTAGTATAAATATTCTGTTCCATTTGGAATAAGTATTTTTTTCTTCTACTCAGGTCTCAGTTCTTCTGCTTCCAACACTTTATTTTGTGCCACAGCCATAAGATTACAGATTCCACATATGTTGTTGCAAAATCTTGAGAAACCCAAATCTTTGTGCTGTATGGAAGGTTTTTAAGTTCAGGTTGTACATTAAGAAGGTAAACTTCGCAGGAATTTTTGTTTTTCCTGGCCCATAGGCAGCCTTTTCTGAATTGTGCATCATGAGTGTGCTCGGTTACAGCATGGTGAAGCTGGCTGCTGCTCATGGATGCTCTTTCATTTGTGAGGATGACAGTGAAAGATGAAAAGTGCAGTGGAATGGTTGAGAGTTATTTAATCAAAGTCTTTCAATGAAAGAAAAGATATTTTAATATGTGGTTTGATTCACTGCAAATTTTTGGCAGTAGATGGGGCCCTTACTGTAATAAAATTCCATCGAGTTGGGAAGCCTCTTGGAGGTGGTGCCCAGATGCAGCATATTGGATCTGACTCCTGGAACATCATCCCTGACCTAGCCCAGGCTCTTTGTTGTCTCCATGTAACTTCTCATGAGAAAAAACCAAAAAGGTGGGAAAGGGGAAACAATGTTCTTATTCCTCTGTGCCCCAGCTTTTCACTGCACTGCAAAATAATGCTTTATTTTACTATCTTTCTTTCCAAAAAGCTGCAAACCCACAGGCTCCCTGTTTCTCTTCTTGCTGACCTCAGGATGCTGCCTGAGATCAAGGATGAGCAGGAAGGGGAACACAGCCCTGGAACAGGATGGGGCAGAACCAGAACCTCACCTGCTGCCATGATGCTGTGAATTCAACATTTCACTCAAGCAAACCTGCATTTCCTGGCAGTGCTGGGGCTGGCCTGGAATCCAGACCTGGTCTGCTCAAGGTAGAGCCATTATCCTAAAGTGCTTTTATTGATCTGTTGACTTTCTGTCTCCCTCCTTCTCTTCCTCTCTTCACCCTGCCAGCCTCTTAAAGACTCATATCTTGTCTCATACAACCAAGGTATTTTAAGGGGTGAACAATGATTTTGAAGTCACATTAGACAAACTATATCTGACCAGTAAAACCAGATATCCCCTGAATGATATCTGAAGAAGGATCTGTCTACATTTACAAATGAGTTCCTCTTTCTCTTCCCTTCTTATTTTTTCTCCCTCTATCTATGTCCTGGTGCTCTTCAAACAATCAATTTCAAGGGCTCATACATCTCCTTTGTAGCAGCCTATCCCCCAAAGTGGCAATGCCATATTGTCATGCTTTATTTTCAGTTGGTTAAAGAGACCTATAGTAGTAAATCTATATCTGTGCTGTGATATCCAGCAGTATTAAAGGCTGAGATTTAAAGATAGGCCTGGAAGACTTACTAGTTGATGCCTGTAGAAAGCCAAGAAGAGCTGTGTGCCTTACTGGAAATTTCAGGCACAACGTGTTAGAGTGCAATATTTTACAGTGACCCGAGCTGCAAATCCTTCTGAGATGGAGATAAAGGGAGAAAGAATAATACTGGAGAAAATGTTAACAACACTGTGTGTTATCAAATGCTAAGAAAGGGCTTGAAGTCGGTTGATCTCTTTCTTATTTTTTATTTCTTATTTCAGTGTTCATAATTTCTGAGGTTTGTGGAAAATTGCAGTTCCTTCCTAGTAATATTGCTCATTAACTAATTGGATGAAGTATGAGCATTTAGTCAAGGATCTGAAAAATACACAGGAAAATATATAACAATTAAAAAAGGCTAAATTTGATCATAGAACTACATTAACTTTTTAATGTGAAGTGCAGTATCTTTCATACAGCTGAGTACATCATTGTTCATGAATGCAGTTTTTGAAACATAAAGAAGTTATTGATAGTTTATAGTCAGGTAAGCATAAATATGCATACATGCTTTATAATGCACTCTCATTTTTTAATGTTGAAACGACATAAAGCACATTTGAGTAAAAAACAAATTCACATTGAACACTTTTGATAGGCTGGATAGTACTACAGTGAAAATAGTGTGTTTTCACTTGGAAATATTAATGACATTAAGGACAAAAACTTCTGTAGTCTCATCCCTTTTCCGTTTTATTCATATCAGCATTAGTTTTCTTTTTATGGAAATTCACAGAAAAGAAGATCAATTAATTTGCTCTAGTCAGTAGTTGCCTATGCATTATCAAAACTCTCCTTCCAAGTGCAGTTACAGCTCTTGCAAGCCAGGAACAGGAGCAGCCCTGCATGTCTCAGGTGAGCAGTTGTGCAGGACCTGCCATGGATCATGCCTGGTGCTTTGGTCAATAATCAATGTGGAGGGTTTGAAAGAAACCTGCTGGCTGAAATATGTTCATGTAAAGAATTTATCTAAGAAATCCGAATATAGTGAAATGTGGAGGGAAAAGAAATTAATGAGGAAATGAAAAAAAAAATTGGTGATCACCTTCTCAGGCCATGGGATGGACACTTACGGACATAGGGCTGAGAATTTTGATCAGTTTTAGGATTTGTGTGATGAGCAGCAGTTCACAGATCAGTGCATTGCAGATGACTTAGCTAATTGTAATACTGTGTTAGCAACAGCAAACTCTCCTTTTGACATCACAGACAGGGAAAAGGGAATAGGAGTCCTGTGGGGAGAGAATGCCTTGGCAGGCACCCCTAAGTCATTCACCTTTCTGGAGAAACTACAGCAGCACCACAGCTACAGCCTGATGGGCACTGAGCTCCATGTCTGGAGGCTGAGCAGCAAATGCTTCGTGTCCTGCATTGAGCTGGAGGTAAGAGCCAGAGTTGTCTTTCCTTCCAGAGCTTGCATTGATGATGGCAGAAAACATAACCCAGTGCATTCTGAGCTAGGCACAAATCTGCATTTCCCCATCTAAACTTACAGATTTTGAAGCAATATGTTTTTGAGGAGATATGTTTGCCCAGTTCTATAGAAATCTTGATCAGAAAAGCATTGAGTCAGCCTGTGAGATGGTCCTAACTACTGCTATATGTTGACTGTGAGTTTGCTTCTGTGTTTCAAAACCTAATTGCTTGGTGAAACTACCTGAGTAAACTGGTTTCAGGGCCAGAAAAGGCTCATAACCATTATTGTCTGGTAAGAGATCATACAAAGATAAAACTGATGTTCATTCTAAAAGGTAAATTTGTCTTTTTACAGAGCAAGGTGAATTTGTGGACTTTCCTCCTGAGAGATGCTATCAGGACAAGCTGTGAAGTTGGATAGCTGAAACAGATCAAGCCAAATTTCTAAACACCAGTACACAAGTAAGCACTGTAAGTAATTTGCAAGCTAGAGAAAGTGAGCCAAAAATCACTTCTCGAGACATACACGAGTCTGAGCAGAATTATGTGAAACTCTGCCCCTTCTGACAGCGACACTGAATGTGGGCAAGTGCATTTTGTGATGTGGCACTGCTGAGCATGAGCCTGTTGGGAGGCAGGAGCTCAGACAGGTGAGCTGATCTGCTGGGGAAATTCTTTACCACTTCAGCACTGTCCTTGTGATCTCCAGGCTTTGCATAAAAGAACTGTCCTATGTATTAGAATGTCACGTTTGGTGTGTTGGATTACACAGGAATGCAGGCAGTCCCAGGGAAGAGGATTGTGCTTGGCTGTTTCCAGTGAGTGTCTGCCAGCCTGGGGAGCCAGGCAGCTGCACACCTGCTCTGTGGGACAGCAGATGAAGCAAGAAGAAGCAGGAAGGGAAATATTCTCTGATAATTCAGGGAGAGGAGAGAGGCAGAAGGAGCCCCATGCACCTTTCAGCAGAACAGTTGTGAGCTATGAGGTGCTAATCCCACAGAAGCCTGTTGTAATTAAGCATCCTGTAAAGTGAGGAGGGGGGTGAGCACTGCAATAAGCTCATCAGCAGCATCTGCACCGACTCTCTGCCCCCTCTGGATACCCTTTGGAAATCTTCAGCGTGTTTTGTGTTTGTTTAGGAGCCAGAAACAAATGCTGGCAAATGCAAAGGTGTGAAATGTTGGCCAATCCATCCCAGCATGCCCTACAAGGCACTGGAGGGAGGATTGCTCGAAGTGGATGATGAGCTCAGTTCAGAGGCTGTTAAGTTAAAGCTTATTACCCTCATTAAGAGATGTGTGCAATGTGGTTTTGGGCTTCTGATATGGTAAAACCAACATTTTCCAAATGTTTTGTTGTCCTGTGTGTTATGCTTGGAGGAGAATTCAGTTTAGAACTGGGTCAGATTCGGTGTGGAGATAAGATTTCTTCACAGAGTTTAGAGTTTTGAATTGTCTCTGTGAAGGCAGAGGCTGTCTGGGGCAATGTGCTTTGTCAGAACCAGGAGAGAATAGAGGGAAAGAAGGAGCAGGGTGCAGAGAGGATCATGCCTTTGCTGAGAGCCAGTGCTGTGCTGAGAGCACTGGGGATAAAAGGCCAAGCCATGCAGGTGTCCCTGGCTGTGCTCCCTGCATGGCAGGAGATCAGGCTGCCCTGCTCCCAGCAGGGTGTAAATGAAGAAGGATGGCTCAGGTTTAGCTTTCCATGCAATTTAATAAGCCCTGCAGGATGAGGAGCACCGAGGTGTGGTGGAGTAGGATCAGGGAGCAGTTTAGGTTCACCAGGTACCATTAGCTTGAGTTCAGGACTGACCCTGCAGGACTGGGCTGGTTTGCACAATAAGATTTGAGTGTCTCTGCCATGTGCTCCTCATCATTTCCATTATCTGTGTGTTTCCTTTATCTGGGGTACCACAGCTCCTCCCTATGATGGAGCACTGGCTCTCCAAGCAGCTTTAATCTCTGGCTGTCTTGGGAGGGTCAGGTCGGGAGAGATTTGAGGTCCTGAGCCCTGAAGTGAAGCCCTCCCTGCTACAGACAGGCCTGCAATTGAAACCAGCTGATCCCAAGTCCTTTGCAAACGTTTCCATTTCAAACCCCTGAAGTTTTATGTCTTTCTAATAAATTTTTTTCTTGAGCCTCATAAATCTCATAAAGATCTTGAACAGCTAGTAAATTTGGCCATTCAGATACACGTTTTCCAGTAAAGAGGATAATGGTTGCTGTTCCTGATGCCACCTCCCCTCCCTACCCCTTCAGCTATAGGAATTCACCTCTTGCTGCTTGCACACAGCTTGGGCCATGCCAAGAAAGGCAACACGTGCAGGTCCTGTTTGCAGGAAGGATCAGAGCCTCTGCTAGCTTGGCCACTGCCCCTACCTGTGACCTGAGCAAAGTCATTTGTTCTCCTCACAGGACAGAAGTGTTGTCCTCTCCCCTGCTCAAGGGGTTGGGAATCTTGCTCTGTGCAGGCTGGAGAAAATGTTCCAGCCACTCTCTTAGGCTTGGATTTCCAGGTGGGCTTGAAAGGACAACTAAAACCCAACACTCCTCAGACTTTGTTTGGAAACACCAGGCAGAAGTGCTGAAGTTTTTTTAGAAAAACATGCTAGAGAAATAGAAAATTGCAAGCATATTTTCCCTTTCATTTGTTGTCTCCCAAATTCAAACAAGCTTATTTCCTTTCCTGCAATGCTGTTTTTGATAATTTTGTGCCAAAGGCACTGAATCTGTTCTTCTTGCTGTCAATAGCAAGATGCCTGTTGCTTTTAATGGTTCAGCTATTAAAACACCACATCCCAGTTGTCTGGCTGTGAGCAATCCCAAGCTATAGCAGTGACAATATGGAACCTTTTTCCTCTCTGAATGTTTCTCTGCAAAGTTTGACCATTTTGGCTGGGGTAAAACATGTGTCTATCTGGGATTCTTTCCAAGGATGAGATTTTGACAGCTGTGCTCATGTTGGCAAAAATCCTGACATCTTGTGCTTCGTTGAAATAGCAGATTCTTAGTGGAGAGGGGTGGGAATCCGATTTCATAGATGAACACTTATGAATTGAGGACTGTGAGCCTGGCTGAGCTCTTTTCACTTGGGGGAAAAGGTTGAAGCCATCCTTTGGGAACAGGGTGGAGCCTGCCTTTCTTGCCATGCCCACCTGTGGGCACAGATGGCCGATGGGCAGTGGGGTGGATGGAGCTCTCTGTGCTGCTGCCAGCTTTGTGCAGCAGTGTGGGACATGCCTTGGACTGCACCCATGGAAGGGGGAGTCAGCCTGCTCACAGTCCATGCATAATGATTTTCATTTACATGTTGGATGTTTTGGGCACGGCTGGTGGGTGGTACTGGTGTGCTTTCAGTGAAAATCCACCTTTGCAGCCCTGGTCAAAACTTGGCCTGATATTTCTGCCAGAGAGCTGGTGGAAAACAAAGCCTTGCTATACTCTGAAATAGCCTGTTTGGGGGGTTTTATTGTCACTGTTGTGATAAAGTTGACTGAGCATTTTTTGTTTGTTTTTTTCACTGGAATCTCCATCTTGAAAGGGAGAAATATTTCCCACAAACACTGTAATTATGAAAGCTGATATATTTTGCAGTAACGTTCAATCTGATGAAGTGTCACTTTTCTGATGAAGAATCACTTATTTGGAGACTAGAATTCCTATTATCTCGACAAATAGGGAATGGTGGCACAGAAAATTGTGTCACGAGGTCACCCAAGAACTCCACATCAGAGGCAAGATAAACTAGAATGGGTCTGGTGGAAGGTCATCAAAATTTTTTCAGAAGGTATATTGCAAATATTATATGTATTTCAAACTTTCCAGTGGCCAGACAGTTCCTTTATGTTTTATCAAGAAAAATAAAGAAAAATTCACGAGGTTTTAAAACCATGTCAATAATTATTTTCTATGTCTGGTATTTCACTGGAAATCAAGGAAAAATAATTTTTAAAACACAAACAAGATAGCAGTCAAACACAAAACCCGAAACAAAACATGCCTCCTGTTGAAAACAATTCAAACAGTTTTGCTCAGGAAAGGATTTAGCTTAGGGTTAGGCACACAGTCAGGCATTCCTGCTTGCATCCATGGCAAATGTGAGGTCTTTTATGCAACAGTTAAAGGAAAAGCAGCCAATCTGTCTCACATTCATCCTTGCTGTGCATTAAGTGATGTGTACAGATATTTATCATCCATCAGAAAGCTCTTGGGCAGCCTTCTCATGTGTTTAATCCCTCAAGCCTTTTCTAAGGGTTTGGGAAGCTGCTGAAGGACAGATCAGTCAGATTTGAAATTGTAAAATTTGAGACAATCCCAGAAGAGGAAAATGTGGATGTTTGGGGTGGCTGCACATGGCTGTGACAGCGAGCAGGCGAGCTGCAGTGAACTCTGGGCATGGATTATTTATCTTTGCACAGCCTGGCCTTGTCAGCTGAGTGGCCAAAAAATTGATCAGGAGGTACAAAATTCCATGGGAAAAGCTGCACCTCCTCTAGTTTGTTTTTGGGAGATGGGGTTGAGGAGGACAACAAAGGACACTGTTATTGTGTGGGAGGTTTGGTCAGCAGGGACTGACCAGTGGCCTCAGAGGCCCTTTCGAAGCCATGCCTTAATGACAAGCTCTTCCCTTCCTCTCCCACTTGTTTTTTGGAAACTAGGACAAATATTAGCACAACTGTGAGTGTTGGGCTGTTGTGTTGGAGTGCTTCTAACCCGTGTCAGCTCGATTAAAGCTAACATCACTGTTTCTGCGCTGAGAAATTCCAGTGGCGTGCCTGCCATAAATTAAACTGAAATTCCAACTTTAAGTTGTCTTCTAGTTCTGCAGCAGATCTGTTTGCTCAGGAATAGCATAAGGCAGATGTCTTCATCTTTGCTGATTCTTAACAGTTCACAGGCATTGACTTTAAATAGCTAAAAGCCTTTAAAATAATTTAAAAACAGGCTTCCTCCTCCCCTACAGACCTTAACCTTTAGTTGCCCTTAACTAGAAATGCCCAGGATAACATGATCCTAAAACAGATCATATAAACCAAGGAGCAGCTTTAAATATATAATGTGATCATTACCTGAAACCAGCGAAGAGGTTGGAATAATTATTACTCATGTTTACTCTTCTGCATTTCAGTGGGTTGTGTTCAATCCTTTAATGATGATGATTAAAAACATACTGGAAACACATAGTAATTAAAGAGAGCACTTACCCGTGATTCTGAAAGCACAGAGGCAGCTTTGAAGTGGAACTGGACACAATGTCTGTTGCCAAAACATTGCAGGAGTTGGAGCACCAGGTAGCTGGTAATTGCAGGTACCACACCACATCTGTTTTGGCACCTGCAGCATCCGCCTCCAGCACCAACCTCAGAATCACTTCTTGTACGTCAGTGAGACTCCTGCAGCCTCAGGAAGAGCTGGCTGATGGTGGCTGAGGGAGCAGACAAATACTCTGCTTTTTAATTTATGTAAAGCCAAAGTTGAATTTGGGCTTGTTTCTCCACGGGGGACTTTTTGAAGGTGAGGCAATGCCTAGGAAGAGGGCAGAAAGAGGAAATTTGGGGTGACAGCAGAGAGTGGGCGCTGGTTCAGGCACTCTGCCCTGCCAAGGCTTCACTGTGGGTACTGACATGAAAGGGAG